CGTCGTCGTCGTCGTCGTCGTCGTCGTCGTCGTCGTCGTCGTCGTCGTCGTCGTCGTCTACTTGTGTGCAGAGGAGCTTTGGGCTCGAAAGGTCGCCAGATCTTGGGCTTGCCGCCATCTCTTGATCCAGATAAGGATTTTTGTTTGAAGGCCTGGTGCTTCCTCAACAGTAAGACGCGGACTTCTTCTCCACGGTGGCGTGTCGTTGGTATTGTTTTTGCTCCGTCAGGTGCCGACATGAGTCTAAACGATCCAGGTGTCGTGACATGTTTGCAGCGGGAGCTCGCGTAAAAATTCAAGTCCCCCCATTTTCAGGGCGGCCCCATGAGGCAAGTTCGAGTCCCCGAAGTCGTCGGGCGGGGCTAGGACGAGGATAGACCCGTTCCAGAGCGTTCCGCAGCGCTCTCAGAGCGTTCTGGGCCCCGACTCCTTCCCGGGGCCGGGTTCTCATCCCGAGTGTTTTTTGGTCGGCCCCTGGGCCCAGCGAGGGCCTCCAGAAGCCGAAAAGGGCGACACACTTCCCCGTCCCGCTTGGGTCCATACGCTGGATCTCTGGGCTTGCGGGTGCGCTGTCTTTTCTCCACTGGCTTTGGACGTCAGTCGGCCGCGCGCAGAAGGGGGTATGGGGGAGGGGGGAAGGCCTCCTGGATTCGTGGGCGGCGCGGGCCTTATCTGTATAGATGTAGGGCCCGCGCCTTCGAGAAGCGGCCTGCTTTTAAGACGCCTTCCCCCTCCCCATTCGCTCCGGTGCGCGCCGCCAGCATGGGGGGAGGCAGGGCAGGAGCGATGGGTGCGAAGCGAGCTCGAGGGAGGAGGAGAACAGCGTTAACGCACGAAGGCGCCCGGCGTTGACCATGGCCCGTTCGAGCTGTCGTACACATGCACGCACCGCTGCTCGTGGCCTCCTACGTTCAATGCCCTTCCCGCGTGCAGTTCACTCATGCGCATACACCCTTATGCTGGTGCCCATTCCTGGACTCAAGCCGTCTCTCTATACAATGACCCATCTCCATATCGACACGCGTACCCATATTCGAAGAACAGCACTCGGCATACACAAACTCTTAGAGGTCCGTGTGGATTTCTTGGTTCAGCGCTGGACCCCCTGGCGGCGCATCCAGCGCCGCCCCTGGCGCGCGGAGCGGCGCCAGGGAGCGGGGTTCAGCGCCGATCCCAGAGATCTATATGGTATGGATTTCTGGAAGTGCCGTTGCACCGTCCAGAGGCGAAAGGGCGCGAACGCACAAGAGAGCGAACGCGAGTCATATTTTTTTTCTTCCTCCAGAGGGGGAAGCGCGCGAGCGCACCAGAGGCGCGAGAGCTGCGCCCGTCGGCAGCGCCGCCGTGCACCGCAGAGGAGCGCGGCACTCGCCCACCGGGGAGCCGGGCCTTCGAGGAACAGGCGGGTCCCGGACCCCGGGGGCAAGCCCTACAGAGGAGAAGCCCACGCCGAGGAGCACCCCGCTCGCCTCTAAGGTGCCCTGTGTTTTGGGGGGGTTCGATGGTTCTGCGACGGCGTGGAGGTCCCCATACGATGGCACCAGCGGGCGCCCTGGGGTCTCGGGGCTGGGCTTCTCGTGGAAGGTTTCTCGTGGTCGAGCTCCTGCTGTAAGACCAGCTTCCGATCTCGACCGGGCGGGACGGCCACGGGCGCGCCACGAGCGTGGGGTGGTCGAGGACTGCAGGCACGCGGCCCCTCGAGGGGTCCCAAACGGCCCCTGAGCTGGCACCGCGGGCTCGGGAGGTGTACGAGTGGTGGAAGTCTCTTCACTCGGCATCGCTCGGACGTGTGCATTTTTTTTTCGGCGACGGCCCTTGAGGACCATCCTGGACCATCGAGCAACAAAAAACACGCGCGAAACCGAAAAATGCACGGGAAGTGGACGTCCGAGCGACGGCAAGTTCACCCTGCGTTGATTCAGTCGCTTCGCTCACTCCGCCGGCCCATTTCGCATTACTGTGGCTGCGTGGTGGTGTTCCCGTGCTTTCGGGGGGCCCATCGGGGGCCTCGGGGCCTCTTTCTGGGCTCTCGGGAGGCCCTGAGGGCGGCGCGCAGGAGCAGAACCACCCCTGATAGGGGACTTGCGGGGGATCTGCCCGAGACCTGCTCGGGACCTGTACGAATGGTGCACGTCTCTTCACCCTACGTTTACTTCTCTCCGTCAGCGAACGCCCGATTCGAGCTGCTTCTCGACGGCCCCCGAGGCCCGGTTGAGGGCCCCCGGGTGCCCGAGAACGGGGAACGGCTCTTTGAACTGCTTCCTTCGCTGCCGGAAGACCGCGGCACGGTTGCACGGGCTGAGCCCACGTGTGCCTGCGCTCGCGTGTGCCCGTGAAACGTGAGCGAAGGAGTCGTTCGTGTTGCCGGCGCAGACGGAGGAGTTCAAGGAGGTCTACAAGACTTCGCAGGACGGCGCCCTTCTCCGGGGCGCTGTCCCTGTGCCCGCGGGGGGGGCGGCATGAGGAGGGCCCCAGCCCTCGTTCTGGCCCGTATGCTTGTGGTGTCTCCCCCACCCACTCCTCCTCCTCCTCCTGCTCCTCCTCCTAGTCCAACTCCTCCTCCTCCTCCTCCTCCTCCTCCTCCTCCTCCTCCCCCTCCTCCTCCTGCTGCTCCTCTCCTCCCTCTCCTCCTCCTCCTCTCCTGCTTCTCCTCCTCGTCCAACTCCTCCTCTCCTCTCCCTCCTCCTCCTCCTCCTCCTCCTCCTCCTCCGTGTCCAACTCCTCCTCCTCCTCCTCTCCCTCCTCCTCCGCGTCCAACTCCTCCTCCTCCTGCTCCTCCTCCGCGTCCAACTCCTCCTCCTCCTTTTCCCTCCGAGCCCCGCCCTTTCTGCCTCGTCTCCCGCCCCTCCTCCTCCCCTGGGATCCCGGCATTCCAACTGTCTCGAGCCGGGCGTTCTCGCGGGACCTCGGGCCCCGGGGCCCTCCCAGGCCGATGCGCCTCGAGAGGTGGCGCAGACAGGTGGGGCCGGAGGCCTCGGCCGTTGCTGCTTTCTTACCCGCTGCAGTGGAAGCCCCTGCCAAGAAGCATCCTGCTTTCCTGCAGCGTGACCTGGGCTTCTTGGTTTTCGATGGTCTTGCCGTGGGAAGCGTGGCGTTCCCACGCCCAGAAATCAAGGGACGTCCTGGGGTCTCAGGGCTGGGCTTCTTGTAGAAGGTGTCTTGTGGTCGGGCCCCCACTGCGTCGGATCTCAGGGTCCTCTCCCTCGCCTTCTCCTCTCTTGCTCCCCGCTTGCTCTGTCCCCTCTGCCCCTTCCCGCCTGCCCGCCCGCCTGCTTCGGCCCGCCGGCCCTGGCCTCCCGCCTGCGAGTTTGCCGTCGTCTGCTTGCTTTCTCGTTCCCTCTGTGCTGGCGCCCTCCCCCCGCCGTAGGGTGCCTTGCTAAACGTGGCGGACAGAGCGTGGAGCTCAAAAAAAATCCTCGTTCCCTCTGTACCTCTCCCTCGCCGCGCAGCAGGAACTGCCAGGAGCCAGCGGCGGAGCCCTGGCCGGAGCCTCTCAGGCAGTGGCGGCTTTGGGGCCCCAACATCCTGTGATCCTCGTGTCGCGGGCAACATCGCGAAGGAAGGTTTTTGCTAGTCATCGGCCTTTGGGGGCCCTGGCCCGGCCTGGATGGTGATGATGATGATGATGACGATGGTGATGAGGATGATGAGGATGATGCTTATGATGATGCTGCTGATGATGATGGTGATGGTGCTGCTGATGATGATTATGACAATGATAATGGTGATGCTGATGATGCTGAGGATGATGCTGATGATGATGGTGATGGCGATGAGGATGAATAAGAAGATGGTGATGGTGATGATGATGCTGATGATGCTGATAGTGCTGATGATGGTGCTGATGATGCTGATGCTGGTGATGCGGATGACGATGAGGATGATGATGATGACGATGATGGTAATGATGCCGATGCTGCTGATGATGGTAATGATAATGATGATGCTGACGATGATGCTGATGATGGTGATGATCATGATGATGGTGATGATGATGCTGCTGATGATGGTGGTGAGGATCAGGATACTAATGAAGATGAGGATGATGACGAGGACGGTCATGATGATGATGATGATCCTGCTGATGATGGTGATGATAATGAGGATGATGATGATGGTGATGAGGATGAGGATGAGGATGAGGATGCTGCTGATGATGAGGATGATGATGATGATGATGATGATGATGACGGTGATGGTGGTGGTGGGGGTGATGAGGTTGATGATTAGGATTATGTTGGCGATGATGTTATTGATGATTACGATGCTGGTGATGGTGATGAAGATGAAGATGCTGCTGCTGATGGTGATGATGATGCTGACGATGCTGATGATTAGGATGAGGATGATGATGCTGATGATGGTGATGAGGATCAGGATGATGATGATGATGATGATGCTGATGATGGTTATGATGATGATGATGATGACGGTGATGATGGCGATGATGATGATGATGATGATGATGATTCTGATGATGATGGTGATGCTGCTGATGATGATCATGATGGTTCTGATGATGACGTAGATGATGCTTATGATGATGCTGATGATGGTGATGATAATCAGGACGATGGTGATGACGATGAGGATGGTGATGCTAATGACACTCATGATGGTGATTCTGATGATGATGCTGTTGATGATGTTGATGACGATAAAGCTGCTGATGATGTTGATGACGGCGATAAGGATGCGGATGATGATGAGGCTAATGATTGTGATGATGCTGGTGATGGTACTGCTGCCGATAATGACGATGATGCTGATGATTTTGATGATGAAGATGCTGACGATGATGATGATCATCATGACTGTGATGATGCTGATGACGGTGGTGATGATGATGAGGATGAGGTTGATGATGATGCTGCTGCCTCTGATGTTTCTGATGATGATAACGGCGACGGCGATGACTCTGACGATAACGATGATGAAACTGATGATGACGATGGTGCTGATGATGGTGCTCATGATGACGAGTCTGATGATGATGCTGATGATGATGATGCTGATACTGATGATGGTTGTGCTGATGATGATGCTGATGATGCTGATGCTGATGATGACGATGCTGATGGTGATGCTGGTAATGATGAGGCTGGCGCTGGTTTTGATGATAGTGCTGCTGATGATGCTGATGATGCTGATAATGATGATCATGATGATGCTGATGCTTGTGATATCGACGATACTTGTCATGGTGGCGATGGCGATGCGGATGTTGATAACGATGGTGATAGTGGTGTCGATGATGCTGTTTGTGATGCTGATGATGGTAATGCTGATGGTGCTGCTGCTGCTGACGGTGCTGATGCTGCTACTGATAATAATGGTGATGGTGAGGGTGATGGTGATGTTGAAGATGATGGTGTTGTTGATGATGCTGCTGATGCTAATGAAGGTTGTGGTGGGGGTGCTGGTTGCGTTGATGGTGCATCCGGTGATTATAATGCTGCTGCTGCTGATGATGATGATGATGATGTCAATGTTGATACCGTTGCTCACTGCACTTGTTGATGGTGATGGGAAGGAGGAGGGGGAGGAGGACGGGGATGAGGAGCATGAACATGACTATGGGGATGATGATGCTGCTGCAAATGATGATGGTGATGACGATGATGATGATGGCGATGATGATCATGCTGTTGATGATGATGATGATGATGATGATGATGGTGATGATGATGATGATGATGTTGATGATGATGATTATGACGGTGACGGTGACTATTACAACGATGATGATGACGGTGTTGATGATGTTGAGGGTGATGACCATCACGATTATGATAATCCTGCTGCTGCTGATGATGCTGATAATGATGATAATGATGATCCTGCTGATGATGGTGATGGCGATGATGATGATGATGTTGATTCTGATGATGATGCTGATGATGATGACGATGATGACTATGATACTGCTGATGATGATAAGGTTGATGATGATGATGATGATGATGATGATGATGGTGGCGGTGGTGATGATGATGCTGCTGATGATGGTGCCGCTGCGGATGATGATGCTGATGATACTGACGATAATGATGATGATGATGCAGATGATGATGATGATGATGATGATGATGATGATGATGATGATGATGATGATGATGATGATGAGGATGCTGACGATGCTGATGATGATGATGCTGTTGATGGTAATGCGACTGCCGATGCTGATGGTGCTGCTGGTGAGCTTGGTGATCGTTATGGTTATTGAGATGATTGTGATGCTGATGATGATGATACTGATGATGGTGATGATGATGATGATACTGATTCTGATACGGAGGTGGATGATGATACTGAGGAGGATGAAGGTGATGATAAGGATGATGGTGATGATGATAATGCTGCTGCTGATGATGATGGTGGTGGTGGTGATGATGATGCTATGCTGCTGATGGTGATGCTGATGCCGATACTGATGCTGATGCTGCTGATGATGCTGGCGCTGATGATGATGCTGATGCTGATGCTGATGCTGACGATGATGATGATGATGATGATGATGATGATGATGATGATGATGATGATGATGATGATGATGATGATGATGATGATGATGATGATGATGATGATGATGATGATGATGATGATGATGATGATGATGAGAGGAGGATGAGGAAGAGGACGAGGAGGAAGAGGATGACGAAGATACAGTCGAAGGGTGACGACACCGTAGAGGGACGAGGACGATGAAGAAGCCCTCGCCGCCGGCAGGACATCTGGATTGTCAAGCCGCACGCCTCTTCCCAGGCGGGCCCCCCGGGCGAGGTTGGGGAGGGCCGGAGGAGGGCCAAGTCGAGACGCCGTCGGCCCCCGCTGGCCTGTTGCAAGTACGGTAGGTGCATGCGGCGACGGCGCGCGGGCGGCGCCAACGAAGGCGTGCAACGTTGAACTCCGCACGATAGAACGTCGCGGGACCACTGAGGGGCACTTGGCATCGCTCGGACGTGTGCGCTTCTTCCTCGGCGAGGACCATCGAGGAGCATCCTTGATCATTTGGCGAAAATGCCACGCACGAAACCGGAACAAAAACACAGGGAATGGACGTCCGAGCGGTGGCCAGGGCATGGTCACGCCGCAGAACCCGACGCAATTCAATCTTGAACGGGGCTGCGATGGGTTCGAGGGTGAACGATCGACGCGCTGTCAAACACCTCTGCGCGTGCCGATGCCGCACGAACCTACCGTACTTTTTCAGCCGTTTTCCACGCATCTCCCATTGCTTCCGGCGGTGAAGGAGGAGGCGGAGGAGGAGGAGGAGGAGGAGGAGGAGGAGGAATACCAGTGTAAACCCAATACGCATCAACGATGCTGCTTACAACCTCCCTCCACGTTCCCTCTTCATAGGTCCCTTCAATAAACTACTTCCGTGCGAGAAGTGCCCTAGTCAAAGACAATGCCATTGCTGGGATTGCAACGCCGCGAATCAATGTGACTGCTGCGTCCTGACAATCCCAAGTCGTGCCAGAACACAATTCCTGGGACTTCGCCTCCGCGGATCAGCGTGACTATTGCGTCCTTGCAATCCCCCATCGCGCCAGAGCGCACTTTTGGGACGAACGTGCGTGGCGCCGCGGCGAGAACCACATTTTGAAAAGGAGCGGTCCTCCGTCTTCGATGCTGCTGCACGTGTTTGAGACGAAGTTTCGCGGCGCTACCGGGAGAGTCACACATCTTTCAAACCAGTCGCCTTATATTCGGGAAACTGTTGCAGATCTCAAGTTTCAGGATCATACATGGGGGGAAGTCTCAGGCGAAACGCCCGACCCGCCCTGTCGACACGTCTGGGGGTGCGACGGGAGGAGTGATTTACACGGGATAAGTTTGGAGGGTGAGGAGGAGGAGGAGGATGGGGAAGAGGAGGAGGATGGGGAGGAGGAGGAGGAGGAGGAGGAGGAGGAGGAGGAGGAGGAGGAGGAGGAGGAGGAGGAGGATGTAGAGAGGGGGAGAGAAAAGGTGTCTGCTCGCCCCTGCTCCCGCTTCCTTCTGTTCCTCTCCATCCCCTCCCTCTTTGCACCCTCCCTCCTCTCCCTTCCTTCCCTCCTACTTCCTCTCTCTCCACCCTGCACCCTCTTCCCTTCTCCCTCTCTCCTCCCTCCTCCCTCGCTCCCTCGCTGTCTCCCTATCCCCCCCCCTCGCTCCTTTCCCCCCCTTCCTCTTCCCCTCTCTACTCCTCCCTCTTCCCTCTCGCTGCCTCCTCCTCCCCTCGCCCCTCGTCCCCCCGCTCCTCCTCCCCCCGCTCCCCGACCCCACCCCCTCGGCCTGCCCGCGCCCCCGAGGGCAAGGGCATCTACCTGCTCAGGAATCTCGACGACCTGCCAGCGAAGGACGTGTCCGTCGTCTGCAAGTACGTGGCCAACCCGCTGCTCATCCAGGACTGCTGTAGGGAGGAGGGCGAGTAGGAGGAGGAGGAGGAGGAGGAGGAGGAGGAGGAGGAGGAGGAGGAGGAGGAGGAGGAGGAGGAGGAGGAGGAGGAGGAGGAGGAGGAGGAGGAGGAGGAGGAGGAGGAGGGGGAGGAGGGGGAGGAGGAGGGGCAGGAGGAGGGGAGGGAGGAGGGAGGCGGAGGAGGAGGAGGAGGAGGAGGAGGAGGAGGAGGAGGAGAGGGTTAGGCTCAGGGGGGGTGCATCGACCCCGAATCGCCCGCAGATCGCCGAGAGGGGCCTGCTAGCTCACCCCGCCGAGGAACGTGCGGCTTCGCTGTCGGGGGCCTGTCGCCGATCCATCGGCGGTGCATCGCTGATTCCAACCCCATCCCCCCCCCCTGAGCCTGCCCACTCCTACGTTATCTCGTTCCCACTCCATCTGAGATGGCCCTTGGGCCCGGAACGGGGCTCCAACGCCCGGTGCGAAGGCAAAAGTTGCGGCGCCAGGACTGCAGGGGAGGAAGAGCATGAGGGCAAGAGCGACGAGCACGTCCTCCTGTCCTCCTCCTCTTGCTCCCCCTCCTCCTTCAACTCCTCTTCCTCCTCTTCCTCCTCCTCCTCCTCCTCCCTGGCCGCCCCAGGGGCTGAAGTTTGACCTGCGCATCTATGTGCTGGTGACCTCCTTCGACCCGCTGCGCGCCTACATCTACCGCGAGGGCCGCGGGGACAACGGGGTTCATTCTGACTCCTCCGACTCGATCCGAGCCGATTTCGATCGAGTCGGATTCCGATCTGGATCTCGGTTTCTCGATGAAAAACTGCCGCCCTGGCGATCTCCGCCGATCCGAGCTGTCCCGCCTTGGGTTTCGATCTCCGTCCGATGCACTGCGATCGCCGATCCGATTCTCATCGCTTCGATCTCAGGCTCTTCAGGGCGCCCTCTCTCCGTAGGCTGCCCCGGGGGCGAGAACGAAAAACAGGTACCCGCAGCCCCTGGGGTCGCCGCCGCGTCGGCACGTCGCGAAGCGACCGTACGAAGAATTCGGCCAGAGGAGGAGGAGGAGGAGGAAGAGGAGGAGGAGGAGGAGGAGGAGGAGGAGGAGGAGGAGGAGGAGGAGGGGGTAGGAGGAGGAGGAGGACGAGGAGGAGGTGGAGGAGGAGGAGGAGGTGGAGGAGGAGGAGGTCTCGCCGAGAAGGCGCCGCGCCGAAGCCCGCCGCAGAGAGCGGTGCGCGCACGCGCTGCCGGCGGGGCGACAGGCCTCACGCGCTTCGCGTCGGCGCCCTACAGCACCGAGGACGAGCACCTCGGGGACGCGTACCGGCACCTGACGAACTACTCCATCAACAAGAAGGCGCAGAATTTCAAGGACGGCCTCCCTTCCCCTCCCGCTCCGCTTCTCCTCCTCAGGGGGCCACACGTGAACCATGCCCCCCTACCCCCCACGATTTCTGAGGGGGAGGGTGGGGTTCGCATGTGGCCCCCTACTCCTGCTCCGCTTCTCATCCTGCTCCGCCAAGAGCCTTCGCCCCTGCTCTCCCCGCTTCCTTCTCTCCTCTCTCGCGCTCCTCCTCACCGGGAGGGACAGGACTCCAAGGGCTGGAAGGAGGAAAAGCGGCATCGGCATGATTTCTTGGAGCCCCGTGCGGATTTCTTGGATCTGCGCCTGCTCTGGCGCACGCCGCGTACCATGGAGGTGGGGTCCATCTCCGATCCAAGACATCCGCGCGGACCTCCGAGAAATTACGTACATGTCGTTGCTTGTCCCTCTAAGGGCAGATGCCCTTCTCCTCCTGCTCCGCCAGAATCTTTCGCCCCTGCTCTCCCTGCTTCCTTCTCCTTTCTCCTTCTTATCCTCCTCTCCTCTCCCTCGCCAACATCCCTCCTCCCTGCTCCCTTCTGTTCCCTCTCTAAGCCTCCGTCCTCCCTGCTTCCGCCTCCCTCCTCATCCTCCATGTCTCCTTTCCTCTCTCGTCCTCGCGATTCTTGTCGTTCTCCTCCATCGCGTTCTTCTCTTCACTCTAACCGTCCATCCTCGCCCATCCCTCGTCGTCGTCGTCGTGGTCGTCGTCGTCGTCTTTGCGGGACACTGTTTTCTTTATGCAGTGTATCACTGCTTTCTTTTTGCTCTCTCTCTCTCTCTCTCTCTCTCTTTCTTAATAAACATCTGAATACTACTCCTTTCTCCCCTGACTCCGTGCGGGAGATGTCCGGCCCCCTCAGCGTCCTGTTTTTGCGCAGGATGGGGCCGAGTCTCAGACACGGTGTCCTCGCTGCAGCGTGCGCCTCGCTTGCGGATCGGCGCCGTGCTCCCGTCTCTCAGCATGGCGCCGTCGCCCCAGCGCGGTCCACTTTTTTCTGCATCCGAGCCATCTCTCGTCGGTGTCGCCCCCGCTTTGCCCTTCCTTCGCCACCCCGTGGTCCTCCTGCTCCTCCCACGCCTTCCACTCCAGTTCCTGCTGCTTCCATTCGTCCTCGTCCTTCGCCTTCGTTCTCCTCCTTTTCATCCCGCTCATCCTCCTGCTCACCCGCCGCCTCCTCCTTCTCCTCCTCCTCCTCCTCCTCCTATGTACGCAGCTTTCCTTTTCCGATTGTGCATTCTACTACGGGGTCTTTTGTGAAGTTCCAGGGCGGCAATGACACGCATCCGCGGATAAAGAAAGCATCAGCGCAATGCAACTGCATGGATGAGGGGGAGGGATCGAATGTCAGATTTGGCATGCGCGCGCACCTAGCTTGCCTCTATCCTTTCTTTCTTTTCCATTCTTGTTCTTTCCGCTCTGTTCCTTCATCTCTTTTCTCCTCCTTTTCTTCTTCCCTCCTCCTCCTTCGGCTGAGCGCGAGGTAATACAAGGCCTATTCACTCCTTCCCCGCTATATCGCATTCCTCAGGCGAGTTTTTTTTGCTGCTGGGACCGCTACTCGTACATGTTCGCGCTGTTCGCGCGCCTCGTTCCTGTACCAGATGCCACCACTACCAGGAAGTCAGATACGCTTCTAATTCAGCAGTTCCAGGAGCGTTCGTTCCTCTGCGTAGTCTTGCCCCTGGGCGAGAATTTGGCCGGGCTTGCTAATCGTGTATGCTGGCGGCGTCCTCTCTCATCTGCTGTCGGGATGTTGCCGCCGGTTGCGGAATAACGTCGTAAGTGCGGTTCTGGTATTGGAAGATCATCATGTCTGTCACAGATTCACAGTTTACAGATCCATGCGGCTTTCGTGGCACCATCTTTTATCATACGTTTCGCCATTGATGCAGAGAGTTACGGTCCTCGCACTCGACGTGGTGGCAAGGCAGTGTTCATTCGAGAGTCATTATTGCACGTCTGGCCGGATATCCGATTGTGTCGTGAACTTGGCCAGACTTTGACAGTCGAGTGCCAATCCGCATCATTTTCTATGGGATCGTTTACCTGCAAGGCCCTGACAAAGCCTTCGGACTTGTTCCATGCCGCTTCGTCACTTCGTCCTCGCCCGCATGGGTGACATGGTACATACATCAGCCTTGAGGGCGATCGCCATCCGAAGTAGTGGGGGGCAACGTGGACAGACACAGCTAATGTGCGATCACGCTATAGGGCCCGATTGACCATGCCACGTTTTCTGGTCACGTCAAATATATATATATATATATATATCGTGACGTATTCATAGCTCCGCATGGTGCGCACGGTTGGCTAACATGACTTCCTCTGCCTTTGAAGAAAGTGTCCTCATGACGTCGGGTGGGCGCAACGTGATGCGGCAGTTGCCTCGGTTGGTACGAAATATTCTGCCATGACGCGTGCCTATTTCGGCTTTTCGGTCTCGGGTTCCTTGCGCCCGCGCAGGGGAGCAAGCGAACGTTGTGCGCTGGCCGGCGCGATAGTGCATGCAGGGCCTGCGGCCTTCGCCGCTTGTTTGGGTTGCATGTCACCCCGGGGTCCTATTGTTCGATGTGCGTTCGCCACCTGTTGGGAGAAACCTGATCTTGAAGGCTTGATGCCCACCTGCCGCCGCGCCGACTCTCCCCTGCTGCCGCCCCGATGGGCCCCAGCAGCGAGGTGCTGCACTGTGGACGTGTAGGCTGTGGGTAAGCTGCGTGGTGCAATCCTCGTCGCCTGCTCGGCTCAGCCTCCGCACCCGCCCAGGCCCTTTGCGGTGCCGCGCACGGTGGGTGCCCGGCTTGCACGTGTTTTTTTCTGCCACTGCAGTTCTATGGCTGCGTTTTTGTCGTAGGTCTTTGCGTGTGTGTGCGTGCGTGTGTGTGTGTGTGTGTGTGTGTGTGTGTGTGCGTGTGTGCGTGTGTGTGTGTGTGTCTGTGTGTGTGTGTGTGTGTGTGTGTGTGTGTGTGCGTGTGTGTTTGTTGCTGCTGCTGCTTTCTTGGCCAGCCACGGGGCGGAGCGTCACAAGGCAGCGGGTTGGCGGGCAGGAGAACCAGAAACTGGAGTCCGACAACTACGGCCACAAGTGGAGCCTCTCCGCTCTAAACAGGCCGTCTCTGGCCTCCTGCTCCCCGTCTCCCCCCCCAAAGACTTCCAGCGGCTCGAGCAACATCTCAGGGGCAACAGTAGGGGGGGATAGGGATAGCTTGTTCTCTTTGGCCTCCCGTTGTTTTAGTCTCTTCGTGGTTCCACGGACGCGGCGGTTGCCTGGCCACCATCTCAAGAGATGTTCTTGTATCTATGTGCCCAGGCTCGCTTCACGGAGGCGCTGTGTCGTTGTCCTTCTCCCTCCAAAGTTGCGCTGGGGGAAAACAGAGGGGGGAAGGGCATTTCGAGGGGAACGCATAGACCTCCAATCGCCCATGCATCGCCGATAGGGGCCCGATGGCCACAGCCTGCCCAGGAACGTGGGGATTCGCTATCGGGGGCCGATCGCTGATCTATCGGCGATGAGTCGCCGATTCCAGCTTCCCCCTCTGCAAGTCCCCCCCTATCGTTGCCCCTCAATATCGCGCGGGCGCCTGTCCATGGCCCAGGATCACCCGCGTGGGCGCGAAAAGAATTGCGCTTCTCGCGCAGCGGTTTGGGCCAGAGCGGCTGCCATTCTCCAAGGGGGCGGCGCGAGGGCGGGGGTTGGCGCGAAGATAATCGCGCTTCGCGCATCTGGGTGCGCGATGCGCGATGGTAGGCGACATGATTGGTTGTCGGCCTCCGAGGGCCGATTCCGGGCTCCAGGTCTGTGACGAAAGGACCGGGAATAATGATCTTGTCTCGGTCAAGGGGTCTCGCGGTTGCAGCTTTGGGCCCCGCGGTGTGGCAGGTTTGGGCCCCGCGGTTGCAGAGCAAACGGGGTAAGTTCGCATTCAGACGATCACCACCCACCAAACCACCCCAACCCAACCCGACGGCCCCATTTTCCCCCCCATTCCCGGTGGGGAGGGGGCGTCGGGGAACCTTGACAAATGCACATGTGGAACTTGTACCCCCCCAGCCCGAAATTCGGGTCTTCGGGTTAGGTTGGGGTGGTCTCCCCGGGGTATCTCAATCAAGGGAGGAGGAACCACCCGGACCCGATGATTTGCGTTTAGTAAACGACCCTGGGCGCTTACGAAACAGCCCTGCACTGTTCGATTCCTTCTGTGGGCGCGTTTACAAAACGGCTTCGCTTGTCGGGGTGATTTTTATTGGGGTGGGTTTCTGCCCTCTATTCATGGGGTCTCAGGGTTGACTTTCTTGTGGAAGGTTTCTTGTGGACTAGCCTCCACTGTAAGTCCAGCTGGAGTGAGTCCAGTTGGAGCCACGGCGCTCCACCTGCTGGGCACCCGGCTGGACCTGGCCCCTCCCGAGGATCGGGAGCGCCAGGGCGCCAGCGGCTCGAAGCAGCCGGGTCGTCGGAGGCCTCGGTCGTCTTCTCCGCGCACCACCACCGTTCCTGGCCGCGGCCGAGAGACGGCGCACACTTCCAGGCTCCTTTTAGGGACCTTCCCGGGGCCCACCCAACGGATCTGTTCGACTCCAGGCTCCAGACGACGCGACTGGGGCCAGCTAGGGCCCACGGTGCTGACAGCGTTGAGCGTCGACAGGGGCGACGGTGAGGAAGGGACGGGGGCGAAGAGGAGGAATGCCAGGCTCACAGCGGGGCGCTGGCCTTTCCGTGGGGGGCGCCTCTTGCAGCGAAGGGGATGGTTTGGGGGAACTCATCGGGGGGGGGGGGGCTTGGGGACGGGAGGGTGTACTGCATCATCCCGAGGGAGAAACGCAGACACAATGAATCGTCGATTCCCCAGGAAAATATGGGAAAATATGGGAAATGGGGGGGAAGACAACGACTAAACAAAATGGGAAACATGGGGAATTCTTTTATTCATGTCTATGTATTTGTGTGTCCCAGGGCCCCTTCATTAATGCATCTTCGGCTGACTCTGGTCATCCACCTATTCCTTCTGTTTTCACTCTGGTCCTTCTCCTAGTCGGGGGGCGGGGGGGAGGGCATTCGGCACCCTGGGAGAGGCACCTGGAGTGCGTCGGCGTGGACGTGAACCTGATGTGGACCCGCATCATGGACGCCGGGGGCCGCCATCCTGAGCGTCCGATCCGACTGGAGAGGACTGGTTGCATTTGGAGCCGGCTCAGGGTCTGAGGTGGCCCAGCACTGGTGGCGCTGCATCTTCGGGGGACCTTTGCTGTCCTGGGAATGGCAGCCTTTTCTTGTACTCCGACGTGGGTTCGGTGCATCTTCGACGCTGGTTCGACGTGGGTTCGGCGCGGGTTCGACGCGGATTCGACGTGGCACCTTTCTTCTTTGGCCTCCCAGATGGACTCAGGGCAGATGGAATCGGAGGATCGCGCCGCGTCGCCGATGCATCGGCGATGCGGCTCGATGTGCAGCCCGATCTCCTCCGCGCCGACGTCGCCGCTGCATCGGTGACGCCGCCAGGTGCATCGCCGAGGCATTGGCGATGCACGGGCGATGCACTGGCAGTGCGGCGATGCATCGGGTGAGCGCACCCGCAGCGCGGCCGCGGGGGGGGCCGTCGCCCGCCGTGCCCAGAGATTTCTCAAGACATCGGCGTCTCTCAATCGGGGCGTGGCTCCTCGACGTCGACCTCGGGGGCCCGTTTACTCGGGGGAGAAAAGGATACGGATACGTGTTGTCCCCCTGCGTTTTCGGCCTTTCCTGGTCCTCCTGGGGAATCCTCGTTGTCACCGCTGGATTCGCCTCGAAATTCTGGTCAGAACGCACCCCAAGAGAGGTCCGGGGACAACACGTATCCGTATCTTTCCGCCCCCCAAGTTCACCGGGCCCCAGGACCAAAAGTGGATCCTTCGGGTGTTGCTAGAAGTACCCCTGGCCCGAGGCACCCCCAGGATCCTCGGGGTGGCCCGGACGGCCTCCAGGGCACCCCGCACGAGGCCCAGAGGCCCATGAGGGCCCCATGGGGCTCCAGGACGGAGCGAGAAGCTGGGGGCACCTTGGGCCAGGAGCGCTTCTAGCAGCACCCGAGCTCTGGGCGACAGAAGGCGAGCGGGGACGCGGTCGGGGCCTCTGGGCCGGCCGGCCCCCAGGGATATCCAGCGCCGTGGAGCTCAGGACGGAGCTCTGCTCCCGTCCTGTCGGCCTCCAGAGGTCCCCCTCGCTGGGCCCCCGGGCCCTGGTCGATGATCAACTCGGGACGCGTGTTGGCCCAATGTGTGTTGACCCCGTTTGGCCTGTGTCGGCCCTCGTTACGCCACGTGCGTCGTACTGAAGGGCTTCGACGGGCCAGCACACGTTGGCGCCAACACACGTTCTGAGCATCGTCGACCCGGGGCCGTGACTCAAGCAGTCGCGAAGCGTCCTGGCTCGCCTATAGCCCTACCAAGCAATGTTCTAAGAACCTTCTGTGGTTTCCACGAATTGTTCTTAGAACATTCCTGGCTGGGACTGTCTTGTTTTAGCACATCGGGATTATGCTACAAGAATCTTGTTTTTGTTCTTAGAGCATTTTTTTGGTTCTAAGAGCAATTCGTGGTAGGACTACAGGAATGCCGGGACGGTCGGTCCCTGCTCAAGTGACCGAAACGATTCAGGCTGAGACGCTGGTTCCCTGGAGCGGGTCGAGGCCTCCGGGGCCCCGTATTCAGAGAAGGCCGACGTCAGATCTCTGGGTGCCCAGCTGGATCTCCGCCGATTTTTTTTTTTCCTCCAACCTGGGCGCTCGTCCCAGATTTTGGCCCTCGGGGGCCGCTTCCGAGGCCCCTGGGCCGTCAAAAACAAGTCCAGGGCGACACGTCGCCTGGGGCAGCGGTCGGGACCTCTGTGGTGTTGCAGCGCATTGAAAAATACCCTGTCGCCCATCGCCCGTCGCCCCTCGCCCGTTGTCCGCCGTCGTCGTCGTCGTCGTCGTCGTCGTCGTCGTCGTCGTCGTCGTCGTCGATCGTCTGTCGTTTGTAGTCGGTCGTCCGTCGTCCGTCGTCTGTCGCCGCCGCCGCCACCTTCGTCGTCGTCGTCGTCGTCGTCGGTCGTCCGTCCGTCCGACCGTCCGTCCGTCAGTCCGTCCGTCCGTCCCCCTCGGGTGCCAGCGGGATGGCCAGGAGGAGAAAGCACACAGACACAATGAATGCCCGATTCCCCAGAAAGTATGGGAAAATATGGGAAGTGGGGGGGAATACAGAAACCCCGAAAATATAGGAACATATATGGGGAATCATTGTATTTGTGTGTGTGTGTGTTTATTTGTGTGTCCCAGGGCCCCTTCAGATGGGGTGTGTGCGCCGCGCGGCGCAGGCTGCGCCTGGCGGAGTCCGGTGCGGCTGGATTCCTGGCCTCTGCCTTCCTTCGCGCCGCCCACGGTCGGGTCTGAGGTTACAGCGCCGGTTCTAATACATGCTCCGCGTGCGGATCATGCATAAAAAATGCAGGGATTTAGTATTACAAACAACGATGAGTTCATGCATACATTAATTCATACATTAGTCATGTATAAAAAAAATCCCATAAATGTTTCAAAATTCTATGAATTAAAAACTGCCCTGTAGGTCGCGCCGGCAGAATCCGGGGCACCCTCGTGTCCTGTCTATCGCGTCTCGTGTCCTCCTCTTCGTGCCTGGAGCCAGGGCTGCCCTCGAAGGAGTCCCCCGTGTCCTCTCGGGTGTCCTCTGCACGCGGTGCCGGCTGTGCCTGTGAAGCCGTGGCGCGACGGGGGAGGAGGCGGAGCCTGGCATCCTCGCGCCGAGATTCTGGGGCCTTCGGGTGGGCTCCAGTAGGCCGTCCAGCCTCAGGATGCTTTCTGGCAGCTGCGCCTCGTCGGCAGCGTTCCCGGGGTGCTGCCTGGATCGTTCCAGAGGGCCGCGAGGCTCGCGATCTGGCCCGACAGCTGACCTTCTGGCGTCGTGGGAGCGCTCACGGCGTCATAGGCTTCTGGCCGTGCGCGGTCTCCGGGGGCCCTCGCCGGGCCCCAGGATCAACAGGAAGCGGCTCGGGATGACGAGGAGCCGGTCCCCAGCCAGGGAGGGTTCTGGACCTCTGGGGAGCCACGCTGCGAAAAAAGCACGTCTGGGGCAACGATACGGCATTGGGGGGGCGAGCTGAGGGGGAATGCATCGGCCCCCCGACGCCCATTCATCGTCGACAGGGGTCCGTTAGCCCACCCCGCCCAAGAACGTGCGGTCTCGCTGGTGAAGGCCTATCGCCGATCTTTCGGCCGGCGATGCATCGCCGATTCCAAGTCGATGCTCCCCTTGGTGAGCCAGTCCCCCCGATCGTTTACTCTCGTTTGAGGGCATATCTCGAGATATGAAGGAGCGTGTTCTACTGCTGCTGGCGGAAAACTGGGGGAGGGTCACTGGGGGTTCCCAACCCGTCCCCCCCCCCTTCGAAAACCGGGGGGGGGGGTCACTACTGGTTCGAACCCCTCCCCCCCCCCCAGTCCATCATGAAAAGGGGGGGGTCACTACCAGTTCGAACCCTCCTCCCCCCTCGGAAACCGGGGGGGGGGGTCACTACAGGTTCGACCCCCCCCCCCCTCGCCGCCGGCAAACGATTCCCGCTCCTCTGGGGACAGTTGGACAATGGTGCTGGGACAGTGGTGGGAACGGTGGTGGTGGGGACAGTGGCCTGGTGCGGGGACAGTGGGAATGTGGTGCGGACAGTGGTGGGGACCGTGGTGGTGGGGACAGTGGTGAGGGGACAGTGGTGAGGGGACAGCGGGACAGAGGTGGGGACAGTGGGACAGTGGTGTGGACGGTAGTGGTGGGGACAGTGGTGAAGGCGGTGGTGAGGACAGTGGTGAGACAGTAGTACAGTGGGGAAAGTGGTGGGGACAGTGGGGACAGTGGGACAGTGGTGGGGACAGTGTGGACAGTGGGACAGCACAGTGGGACAGCGGCGGGGACAGTGGGACAATGGTGGGTACAGTGGGGACAGTGGGATAGTGGTGGAGACCGTGGGGAAAGTGGGGAGAGTGGGACCGTGGTGGGACAATGGTGGGGAGAGTGGGGACAGTGAGACACTGGTGGGGGCACTGGTGGGGACAGCGAGGACAATGGTGGGAACAGTGGGGACTGACAGTGGTGGGGGCGATGGTGGTGGGGACAGTGGTGTGGGGACAATGGGAATGTGGTGGAAACAGTGGGACAGTGGAGGGTACAGTGGTGGTGGGGACAGTGGTGAGGGCGGTGGCGAGGATGGCGGTGGGACAATGGGACAGAGGTGCAGTGGGGACAGTGGTGGGGACAGTGGGGACAGTGTTGGGAACAGTGGGACAGCTCAGTGGGACAGCGGCGGGGACAGTGGGACAGTGGGACAGTGGGCACAGTGGGACAGTGGTTGGGGCCGTGGGGAAAGTGGGGAGAGTGGGACCTTGGGTGGGAACACTGGTGGGGACAGTGGGGACAGTGCGACAGTGGTGGGGGCACTGGTGGGGACAGCGGGGACGGTGGTGGGAACAGTGGGGACAGGTGGTGAGGACAGTGGTGCTGGGGACAGCAGTGGGGGATGTGGTGCGGACGGTGGTAGGGACCCGGGAGTCGTTTGCTGGCGGTGAGCGTGGGGGGGGATTCGAACAGGTAGTGACCCCCCTCTGGTTTTCTGGGGGGGGGGTTCGAACGGTAGTGACCCCCCCGGTTTTCCGGAGGGGGGGGGGAGGGGTTCGAACCGGTAGTGACCCTCCTCTGGTGTTTTGGGGGGGGGGGGGGGGGGGCGGTTGGTGGAGGGGTTCGAACTGGTAGTGACCCTCCCCGGTTTTCCGGAGGGGGGAGTGGTTCGAACCGGTAGTGACCCCGCCCGGTTTTCAGGACAGGAGGGGGGGGTTAGGGGAGGGGGGGGGTTTTGCCGAGGGGAAGGGTGGGGGTGAGGGTTCCAGCAGGGGGGGTATTTTCGGAGGGGGGGGGACCCCCGGGTTCCCGAGGAAGAGGGGGGGGAATTTCCACAGTAAAGCGGCTGTGGATCACGCTCTCTTCGAGATATATGTTCCTCATTTCGGGTCTCGTGTTGGGGCCGAGCGTTCCGCGGGGGGGGGGGACCTCCGACGGGGGTAGGACCTCATCGTCAAGACCTTGCTCTCGGTCCAGCCCGTGATCTCCAAAAAGGCGCCGCCGCTGCAGTGCCCATTTCGACCTGGTCGATTCGCTTCGATATTGATTTTGGCCCGCCCGATTCGATACGATTGCGATATTACGACGATCCCATGATCCCATGCGGCCAGGTGGTTGCGTGCCCCCGTTGCATGCTGGCGCGGCTGGTGCGATCCGATTCGGACTCCGTGCCGTTGCAGCCCGATCCGATGCATGCTCCGATCCGATCCGGTTTCCCGATGCGGTGCTGATCGATCCTCCCGCCTCGGTCCACGCTGCCTCTTCCAGCCACCGCCGCCGGACCATGTATTAAACATGCAGGGATTTAGTATTAACAACAGAGATGAGTTCACGCATAAATTTATGCATACATCAATCATGTATTAAACATCCAATATTCGCTAAAATCCTAAGAATTAAAAACTGCCCTGTGCGCACAGACTTTTGGAGGCCCACGCGGATCTCGCTTGGATCTGCGCCGAGCCCCCCCGGAGGAGGAGGAGGAGGAGGAGGAGGAGGAGTCCCTGGCGCGCGGAGCGCGCCCCGGGGGGCGGCGTCGGAGGGCGGCGCTGGAGGCGCTGCCGGGAGGGCTCTCCAGCGCCGCTCCAAGAACTTCGGGGGTGGATAGACCTCCTACTCCAGATTTCGTAATGAAAGGGAGGGGGTCTCAACCCTCCCAGACTAGAAGTTTTAAACCCTCCCAGACCATCCATGAAAGGGCGGCCCTTTGCCCAGACCCCCCCGAACCTCCCAAGACAGCTCAAATCAGACCCCCCCCATATGTGACCCCCCCGACTTTATCATGGAATCCGGAGTACCCTGACACGTCGATTAGTGTGTTGGCCGTTTTCGGTTCGCGAGAGGGCGTCACGGCCGCTATTTTTGCGGGTCCAGGTCCGTCGGTTGTGGTCCCAGGCCGTCTTCACTAAAGGGAGGTTTACTAAAGGGAGGTTTGTCCACCGCCGAGAACTCCGCGCGGAGCTCCAGAAGTTTGTGTTTCTAGGTAGCCACATGCGAACCCGACCCCTACCCCCCACGATTTCTGAGGGGGAGGGTGGGGTTCGCCTCGCTCGAAGGCTCCCGAACGAAGTGAACCCCACCCTCCCCCTCAGAACTCGTGGGGGGTAGGGGCAGGGTTCGCCTGTGGCCCCCTAGTTTCTGCAGCTGTTTCTTGTCTGTTGTCCCGGATGTCCAGTGCTCCGCTTGCCGTCCGCTCCCCCATCCCGCCCCGCGAGGTGGCCCAGGCGAAGGTGCACCCCCAGTGCTGCTTCGAGCTGTACGGCTTCGACGTGCTGGTGGACGAGGCCGCCGCGGCCGGCAGTCCAGGCAGAGACGAAGAGGGGGAGGAGAATGGGCGATTTTGGAACAAGGAGGAGGGAGAAGAGAGACGACGACGACGATGACAACGAAGACGACGGCGGCGGCGGTGGCGACGACGCCGACGCCGCCGAAGACGACGACGACGACGACGACGATGATGATGATGATGATGATGATGATGGTGGTGGTGGTGGTGGTGGCGGCGATGTTGGTGGCTGCGATGGTGGTGGTGATGATGATGACGATGATGATGATGCTGATGCTGATGATGATGGTTAGGATGATGGTTCGGATGAGGACGAGGACTCGGATGAGGGTGTGGATGATGATGATGCTGATGCTGACGATAATCACAGCGACGATCCTTTTGCTGCTGATGACGATGCGGATGATTATCAGGATCAGGATGGGGGTGAGGATGAAGCCGATGATGATAATGATGATGGTGACGATGATGCTGATGACGTTGATGACGATGATGCTGATGATGATGATGATGATGATGATGATGATGATGATGATGATGGCGACGGTGACGATTACGATGACGATGATGATGATGATGATGGATGAGGATGGCGACGATGCTGCTGATGATGCTGTTGATGGTGATGATGATGCTGATGGTGATGACGGTGATGATGATGCTGTTGATGGTGACGATTTTGCTGATGATGATGGTGTTTGTGATGAAGCTGATCCTGATCATGATGTGATTATTGACGACAATGCGGGTGATGCTCACGATGATGATGATGATGATGATGATGATGATGATGATGATGATGATGATGATGATGATGATGATGATGATGATGATGATGATGATGATGATGATGATGATGATGATGATGATGATGATGCTGATGATGCTGATGATGATGATGGTGATGTGACGATGATGAGGATGAGGATGGTGATCATGAGGATTATGGGCATGATGCTGATTCTGAGGTTGCTGATGCTGCTGATGATGACGACGATGATGCTGCTGTTGATGATGATGATGATGCTGATGCTGATGCTGCTGATGCTGCTGAATATGATGATGATGCCGATGGTGATGATGATGATGATGATGATGATGATGATGATGATGATGATGATGATGATGATGATGATGACGGCGATGCTGATGATGCTTATGATGGTGATGATGATGACGATTGTGATGATGCTGATGATGCTGATGATTATGATAATGATGGCCATGATGATGATGATGATGATGATGATGATGATGATGATGATGATGATGATGATGATGATGATGATGATGAGGAATAAGGTTTCACGACGATGATGCTGATGCGGATGCGGATGAGGATCCGTAGAAATATATACCCCCGACAACGGGTACGATCGAAGACGAAGACGGCGGGTATCGAGGGTTTGGGAAACACACGTTGAAGGACACTCGAGCAGATAAGAGCGAACAGTCTTAAAATGATCGTCGTTGTTGTTGTTGTTGCTGTTATTGCTTTGTGCTGTTGTTGTTCTTGTTGTTATTGTTATTGTTGCGGCTGTTGTTGTTGTCGTTGTTGTTGTTGAAGTTTTCTGAAGAATAATTCTGATAGATCCCCCCCGCGCGGTTCACATTGTTTTTTCGATTGAAGTGCCCCTCACAGGGCTCGCACCCGGTTTTTTATCAGGGAAAGTCGTGAGGTTCAAATTGTGCCGTTGGCCCCCGGTTTACAACAGCAGCGGTTCCCGCCTGATATTTCCTAACAATGTATTGAAGAATCGCGCTCTTGCTTGGGACTTCGTCGCAATTTACAACCGAATCGCGGCTCCCGCCTGATATTTCCTGACACTTTATTGCAGAATCGCGTTCTCGCTTGGGACCTCCTTGCAACTTAACACCGAACCGCCTCGCTTGATATTTCATTTCCTCACAATTTATTCAATGCCGGTCCTCGACACTCAGGAATCGCGCTCCCGCTGCATATTGCCAAGCGGTTCAAGCAGGACTCACGCTTCAACGACCCGCCCGCTCGACCCGCCCGTCGGGGCCTGCCCGCCCGACCAGCACGTTGATGACTGCAGTCGCCGCTCGCTGCCCTTCGCCCGCCTTCGATGCCCCTCACTGCCCGTACTGGTTCCGCGGTCGCCTTCGCTCGCTGCCCCTCGTGGCCCCGTCGCTGCCCTCAGTGGCCCCGTCGCTGCCCTTTGTGGCCCCGCATTATATGCCCTTCGTGGCCCCCGCTCGCACGCGCCCGTCGTGGCCCCATACGCATGCCTTTCGTAGCCCCGCTGTCGCCCTTCGTGGCCCCCTCGCTGGCCTTCGTGTCTCCTTTGCTGCCCTCAGTGGCCCCGCTGTCACCCGTGTTTGTGGCCCCGTATACGAATGCTCTCCGTGGCCCCCGCGCGCTCGCGCCCGCCGTGGCCCCATATGCATGCCCTTCGCGGCCCCGCTGTCTCTCTTCGTGGCCCCCTCGCTGCCCTTCGTGGCCCCGGTGCTGCCCTCAGCGGCCCCGTCGCTGCCCTCTGTGGCATCGGATTTTATGCCCTTCGTGGCCCACGCTGGCTTTTCTCACGATTTACTTGGGAATCGCGCTATCGCTCGAGACTTCCTCGCGATTCATGCAGGACCCACGCTACAGCAACCCGCCTGCTCGACCTCGTCGCCTGGGCCCGCCTTCCGACCTGCCCGCTATGGGTCTGCTCACCCGATCTGCCCGTCTGGTTTACCACTTGTTTTCTGCTCCTTGCCCCCCTCCTGCTAATTTCTCTCGTGCTCCAATCTTCTTCCTCTCCCTGCCGCACGTCCTCTCTTCCCTTGTTTTAGGGGCTGCACTACATACACGTGGGAGGTAAGGAAGATATACCCCAAAGGGGGTACGTACGATCGAAGACGACGAGGGCGGCTACCGCGGGCTTGGGATATACGTATGGATTGGGACGTGATCATATTTGAGCGAACAGTCTTACAATGATTGTTGTTGTTGTTGATGTTGTTGATGATGTCGTCGTCGTCGTCGTCGTCGTCGTCGTCGTTGTTGTTGTTGTTGTTGTTGTTGTTGTTGTTGTTGTTGTTGTTGGTGTTGGTGTTGTTGTGGTTGTGGTTGTGGTTGGTGTTGCTGTTGTTGTTGTTGTTGTTGTTGTTGCTGTTGTTGTTGTTGTTGTTGTTGCTGTTGTTGTTGTTGTTGTAATTGTTGTTGTTGTTGTTGTTGTTGTCGTCGTCGTCGTCGTCGTCGTTGTTGTTGTTGATGTTGCTGTTGTTGCTGTTGTTGGTGTTGGTGTTGTTGGTGTTGCTGTTGCTGTTGCTGTTGCTGTTGCTGTTGCTGTTGCTGTTGCTGTTGCTGTTGTTGTTGTTGTTGTTGTTGTTGTTGTTGTTGTTGTTGTTGTTAGTAAGGGCGGGGCGCCCCGACCCGTGTCCCACAACACCCCCCCCCCCCCCCACAACACTCACAACAACCGGGGGGGGGTCCGGACGGGCAACCGAAAGTTTCGGGCCCATTTCGGCGCACCCCTCACACGGTTCGTGGCCCCACAGGGGGCGGAGCCGAAGGCCTGGGGCCCATTTCGGCGCACCCCTCACACGGTTCGTGGCCTTACAGGGGGCGCAAGCGAAGGTCTCGGGTCCATTTCGGCGCACCCCTCACACGGTTCGTGGCCCCACAGGGGGCGCAGCCGAAGGTTTTCGCGGCCCCACAGGGGGCGCAGCCGAAAGCTTCGGGCCAATTTCGGCGCACCCCTCACACGGTTCGTGGCCCCACAGGGGGCGCAACCGAAGGCTTTCGTTGCCCCACAGGGGGGGCAACCGAAGGCCTCGGGCCCATTTCGGCGCACCCCTCACACGGTTCGTGGCCTTACACGGAGCGCAACCGAAGGTCTCGGGTCCATTTCGGCGCACCCCTCACACGGTTCGTGGCCCCACAAGGGGCGCAGCCGAAGCTTTTCGCAGCCCCACAGGGGGCGCAGCCGAAAGCTTCGGGCCAATTTCGGCGCACCCCTCACACGGTTCGTGGCCCCACAGGGGGCGCAGCCGAAGGTTTTCGCGGCCCCACAGGGGGCGCAACCGAAGGCTTTCGCGGTCCATTTCGGCGCACCCCTCACACGGTTCGTGGCCCCACAAGCCCGCAACCGAAGGTCTCGGGTCCATTTCGGCGCACCCCTCACACGGTTCGTGGCCCCACAGGGGGCGCAGCCGAAGGCTTTCGCGGCCCCACAGGGGGCGCAACCGAAAGCTTCGGGCCCATTTCGGTGCACCCCTCACACGGTTCGTGGCTCCACAGGGGGCGCAACCGAAGGCCTCGGGCCCATTTCGGCGCACCCCTCACACGGTTCGTGGCCTTGCAGGGGGCGCAAACCCCTGTATAGGATCGTATACAGTCCGTATCGGATCTGTATAGGATCGTATACAGTCCGTATCGGATCTGTATAGGATCGTATACAGTCCGTATCGGATCTGTATAGGATCGTATACAGTCCGTATCGGATCTGTATAGGATCGTATACAGTCCGTATCGGATCTGTATAGGATCGTATACAGTCCGTATCGGATCTGTATAGGATCGTATACAGTCCGTATCGGATCTGTATAGGATCGTATACAGTCCGTATCGGATCTGTATAGGATCGTATACAGTCCGTATCGGATCTGTATAGGATCCTATACAGTCCGTATCGGATCTGTATGTACACGGACAGGACATTCTCACGGATCTGTACAGGTTCCTAAGGATCCCTAGGACATTCTCACGGATTCCTAGGACATTCCTAAGGATTCCTAAGAATTCCGAAGGATTCCCAGGTATTCCTAAAGATTCCTAGGAATTCCTTGCTTCGCCGGTGCACACATGCTTTTTGCCAGCAGGGATTCGTTGGTGCCAGAGAGGAGGTCCGCAGATGTTCACACAAATCGAATTCAATGGCGTTGTTGTGGGTGTTGTGGGGGGGGGGGGGGGGTCGTTGTTGTGGTTGTTGCCGGGGGGGGGGGGTCCGACGACTGGTCCGGCCCGGGGTCGGCGCTGGCATTGCC